GCAGTAAAATAGACCTATGAGCCACTCAGAGAAAATTCCTTCTTCGACTGAAGACCGTGTTTGAAAACTATCTGCAAAACTGCGAGATTTAAAATAAATAGACAAACGTCTAAAATGTTTAAATAATAGCCAGCTAACTTCAGACGGCGTAGATGAGTGACTAAAGTTCTGTAGGTTAGATTTGGCAAGTGGTTGTCCGCTTGTCAGCATTCTCCACTTTTGTGCCTTCTTGATCTATGAGCTTTTAGGATTTGTCATGGTGTGAACTTGACAGACACAAAGACAAATCACTAATTATTCGGACTTGTTATATACCCACGAATACGAGACCAAGGAAGAACACGATAGCGTAGTCGGATGGAATAGTATATTTGGATGGTTATGCCAAAATACCGATGCGTTCCAACTAACTGGCTAGAGAGTCGAATACGAGCAATGCAACGTAACACGACAGCGTGCCAAATGGCGAGGATGCTTGACCAGGTGCCTTCAGCTTAGCGAGTCCAGTTAAACTATCAAGGTCAGCATCAATGTCGCAAGTCGTCAAACCCTAGGCTATTGATTTTGGGGAAGTGTATGACGCTACAGATCACTCCCCCCTTCTAGTGGGTTCGTGAGGACCCTAAGACGATACCAGCCGGAAGTAAAAACCCAGTGGTTTCTCCACTGGTAAAACTCTTCCGATGGGCTCACTGCGTGAGGTGGCCCCTGGTTGTCTGAACTTATTCTAGGGTGTCGTGGCAATACAATAAATGAAATTTAAATGTTTTTTTTGACGTCGGTCGCGGTCATCTGTTCCTTTCGACGTTCCGTCCAGTGCTCGTTGCACCTGGAATATAAATAAAAGTCTTTAATACCACGAAAACGTTGCGTAAAAATGGGAATTATTTATATATAAACGTGTCGAAAAATAAAAATTTACGCTTATCTTCGCCGTTGTTTTTAGTTTTATTACATGGTAATAAAAATTGATATAAAAAGGCAAAGTGTACGAGGGTTGTGCATTGCCGGTAAATAAGAAAAATAGTGCCTCGAAAAAAAGTATGGTTGGCACACACACCGCTAAGTTGAATATGACTTCAGGTACTCTGGGAACCTGACGGTTCGACCTGATCGTGTTTTTTGTTGCGCCGATGGTTGTTGCAGCTGTGCATTACCAGGCACATCGTCGAGAATTTCGATAATTGAGTCATCCGTCGGTCGGATGTAGCTGAGCTGAAACGTCACTTACAATGGGGTTGCCTTCGAAATAAGCTGGTTTCAAACGGTCGATACTGACAGTATCTTCACGTCCGTCTCGCTCAATTATATAGAATTTCTCATGTCGCTTAATCACTTTGAACGGCCCGTCGTAGGGTGGTTCAAGTGGTCGACGAACAGCGTCGTGGCGAACAAACACGTGTGATGTCTTCTGTAAACTGGGGTGGACGAAAACATCAGTCGTTTGCGGTCTAATCGGAGAAGGCCTAACTGAACGCATTGCGTTTGTAAGCCTAGTCACGTAAGATCCCTGTCGGAAACATGTTTGAAAGTTGAAGGGGAAACAAACTCACCTGGTAGGCGAAGAGTGGTCCCATAGACGAGTTCTGCAGGAGTGCATCCAGCATCAACTTTCAACGCGTTACGAATACCTAGTAGGACTAGAGGCAGAGCCTCGGTCCACTGAGGTATGTTTGTAGCTGAAAGGGAAGCTTTCAGCTGTCGATGGAAACGCTCTACCATGCCATTTGCTTGTGGATGGTAGGCTGTCGTTCGGAACCGAGTGCAACCTAAAAGTGCCGTTAGAGCGTGAAATAATCCGCACTCAAATTGGCGCCCACGGTCGGTTGTGACGTAAGATGGACATCCGAAGTTCGCGATCCATCTTTCGACGAAAACACGAGCAACTGTTTCGGCAGTAATATCTTTAATGGGTACTGCTTCCGGCCATCGTGTGAAACGATCAACACAAGTGAAAAGGTAGGTACATCCATTAGATTCTGGTAGGGGTCCTACAATATCTATATGGACGTGGTCGAAACGCATGTCTGGGGCTAGAAATGAGCCTAAAGGGCTTTTCGTGTGTCGCGTGACTTTACACTTTTGACAAGCTAAGCACGACTGGGCCCACTCCTTAACGTCTTTGTTCATCCCAGGCCAGCAGAAACGTTGTGCGATAAGCCTAATGGTGGCTCGTACACCTGGATGAGAGAGTTTGTGCAACGTATTGAAGACGTTGCGTCGACAACTCTTCGGAACTATTGGGCGTGGTTGACTAGCAGAGACATCGCACAAAATTGCATCCTTGTCTGATCCAACAGGACAAAGTCGCAGTTTGAGAGTTGTGGACGACAACTCATGATGCAGCTCAAGGTCTTCCTTTTGACGCCGAGCTAGTTCAACGAGATCAATACCCTCGATATAGTTTATCGAAGCTATTCGAGATAGTGCGTCGGCTGCGGAGTTGTTTGCTCCAGAAATGTGGCGGATGTCTGACGTGAACTGGGAAATGTAATCCAGCTGTCGCGACTCACGAGGGGAGTATTTGTCAGACGCCGAGCTGAGGGAAAACGTTAACGGTTTGTGGTCTGTGAAAATAATGAAATCACGACCTTCCACAGAATGTCGAAAATGGCGTACAGAACAGTACATGGCTAGGAGTTCCCTACCAAATGTACTGTATCTTGTTTCCGCGTCTTGCAGCCGCCTCGAGAAAAAGGCTAACGGTTGCCACTGGTTGTCAGTCAACTGTTGCAAAACTGCTCCAATTGCTGAATCAGATGCATCAACAGCAATACTCAGAGGAGCATTGGGGTCATGATGCATAAGCATGGTTGCGTTCGAAATGGCTTCCTTGACTTTGGAGAAAGCAAGTCTAGCCGCGTTGTCCAGAGACACGAACTTCGCAGTTCCTCGAAGTAGATCTGTGAGTGGTCTCATGACAGAGGCACAGTTAGGGATAAACCTTCGGTAATAACTTACCAGGCCATTGAAAGTGCGGAGATGTTTCACAGTGGTCGGCTCTGGATAGTTTGTGATAGCCGCCACTTTATCTCTCAATGGGCGTATACCTTTGTTGTCAATGGTATGCCCAAGGAAGCTGAGTGATTCAACTCCTATTTCACACTTCTGTAAGTTAACTGTGATGCCATGTTTTTTAGTCTTTCGAATGCGAGGTCCAAATGTTTAAGGTGTGTTTCCTTATCTGGACTCGCAATTAGACAGTCATCGATGTAGACATGAACAAAATTCAGACCACGGAAGACATCGTCCATAAAGCGTTGGAATGTTTGTGCTGCATTCCGAAGACCAAAAGGCATGCGCAGGAATTCAAACAGGCCAAAAGGAGTAATAATGGCTGTTTTCGCGATATCTTCTGCTGCCATAGGTATCTGGTTGTACGCTTTGACCAAGTCGATTTTCGAGAAAATGTTCATGCCGCATAAGGTTGCGGTCAAGTCGTAAACGTGGGTATAGGGTAGCAGTCCGGAGTTGTTTTGGCGTTAAGCCTTCGGTAATCACCGGTCGGACGCCAGTCGTTGCTATCCTTTTTGGGCACCATGTGCAATGGCGATGCCCAAGGACTGTTTGACGGTCTGATAATGCCCAGTTCGAGCATATGGTCGAATTCATTTTTCGCCGTTTGCAGCTTATCGGGGGCTAAACGGCGCGCTTTGGATGCCACAGGTGGACCTGTGGTTGTGACGTGATGCATAACATTGCTGGTTATGCACGGAAGAGTGTGTTTCGGTTGTGTAACTCTGGATATTTCTCCAGAACTGCCTGGTAGGACGCGTCGCCTGATTGTTTAGTCCTAACGATGGCTAAACTCGGACCTACATAGGTGGTGCCGCCAATAGATAACTTTGTGTTGTTATCTATCAGTCGTCGACGGCGAGCATCTACGAGTAGATCGTAATGGTTTAGCAAATCTATGCCAATGATGGGCATAGAGACGTCTGCCAGGAGGAAATCCAGTGGATAGGTTTGCGTAAACCTAAGTTGAGGTAGGCATACCGTCTCCCGAATGTCGCGATTGCCTTGCCGTTGGCTGCTTGAAGATTGAAGGATGGGTCGAGATGACGCTCCTTTGTCGTTGCTGGAAGAACGCTAACTTCTGCGCCGGTGTCGACGAGGTAGCGGACTTTCGTTTTAATGTCGGTGACGTAGAGCAAACGGCTTTTTCCGCCGGCTACGGTTGCCGTGAGCACGTGCCGGCGTGACCGTTTCCCGAGTTTGTGTCCTTCTTAAAACGGCATGGTTTACGACATTTTCTGGCTTCATCTCCGTAAGTGTTATGAAACCAGCACCATTCAGGGTTTTCCACCCTGTTAGGTTTAGTTTTAGGGCTACCACGCGACTTGCTGCGATGCGCCAAGGTGCGTTTCTGTGAAGTGCTACGTGATCTAGGACTTCGAGATCGTAGCAACTGTTTCACAGAGTTGCACAACTACAAGCTCATGGTCCCTAGCTTAGCCGCAATCAGGAAATACGTTAACATTCTTTCCCCAAAATAATATCTTCCCCTCCAATTAATAAACAAACTATATGTCCATTCTTATCAGTACTAACACGTAGTCAAGATATTGATTAGTTCGGTACCAGAGCAAAATGGCTTATGTAGGGTTGGTCAAGTGTTAGGTAGTAGCAACACAACCAGAAGAAGCCAACTGCACCACAGTCCAAGGCAAACAACCCAACACTTAACTTCCTGTTCTGTAAATTGAGCTATAGCAGACGAGTGGCTGGACCTACTGCATCGGAATCCGCCAAAAGATCTGGAGCCGTTCCGCAAGACCAAGAAGCGAGCGCAAAGAAATCAATTGGCTTACACAAGCTCTTTAAAAGATATTGGATATATTGGAAGTTCATTCAAGCATAATGTGACAACGGTAGGGCATGCGGACTTCTGTTGAAATAGGTCTTAGTGGTGATACAGTTTTAGAATGTTCTGAATAATTAGCTTAGATATTACGCAATAGAGTATGCAGTTCCCACAAGTTTTTCCAGATTGAGGCGAGCGGACTTAATGGCCTTAAACCTCAAGGTTAGGTGAGAGGCGTAAATACTGTGGAGAGTGAGTTGCTGGGCTTCTCAGTGTTTTTTCATTGACTGAATCTAAAACTAATGAGGACAATCGATCAGATCCATTTTAAGCATAATAGTTTGCGTAGCAAACCCACAGCATCTCCGTTGAATATTAGGTTTGTCTGCCGGTCAACATTTTCGAACACAAAAATTAGTCTGTTAGGTCAGATTTTGATTCAGTTAAGAAATAGCAGCCACAGTTGATGACTTAAAGTAACTGGTACAATATACTACAATATGAAACCAGTCTATCATAATGTTGAAAAAGAATAAACGTCACAAAGTGGACCTGTTTTTAGATATCCGTCCGAGCTTTTCACTTATGTATCGAAATATCAAGTTATTTTCTGTTCTTCAGTTGGTTCATGTGATCAGACTTTATCTTGAGGACTGAGAGTCGGAAAACACGCTATGGAATGGATTCACATAATGCTAAAAGGGAATTTCAGGAAGTCTGTTTCACTTATCAACGATAGCCTGTTGGTCGGCACTTCCGCCAAACAAAATCGTCAGCCTGTTGTTTAATTGTAGTCACTATTTTCTAAGCTCAGCTGAATTTTTCTAAAACATGGGTTTACAAAGTATGTCAAACTAAGGCTTTTACAATGTATCCGTTCTTCTGACCATGAATTCCGTATATTTCTGCTTATATCTGACGTATGCATGAAATGATTTAGATACTGTTGCCTTTCTGGTCCCTATCTCCGCATTAAAATGGTCATATACTCATTCTTATCAACATTCAACACCTAATTTAGAATGAAGCCTTACGGACTGTGTATTCAGATTCTAAGTGAACCACTCCAGTTAGGATTTACTTAGACATGCTTTTGGATCTTCGGGAAAACCCCTAACAATATAGGGGCACAACTAGGAATGCGCAATATCTTACCCAAAAAACGCTATTTTTCCACGAAATGATCGGAAGTCCCTAGAATCTCAAAGTTTCGATAGTGCGCTTAAATTATTTGGAAAATTAATATACCTCCATTTTTAAGGCTACCTTGGAATACCTTTCGATGTGGCATTCTTCTTATATAATAGGATGCATTTGCATAGCGACAATAAAAGTTTGAACAAAGAACAACGAAAACCATGTTGGATATTCAAATGCGTTATCGATGATGTCGAAGTTTTCCGAAATGTCCCTAAATTTAATACTAGCAGACAGGCAAAATCAACGTAGAACCTCGCACACAACTGAATTGGTTCAAGTGGTCTCAATTCACACTAATATACAAAAAAACAAGTTGGTTGGAAAAGTGATATCAAAGTATCAAAGGTGTGTGAGAGTAAGCAAGTTAAAGATAAGAGTTAGTCAAAATATTCAAGCTTTAGAAGATATCAAAGAGTGAATACGTCTGAGCCATTGTGACCGATTTTCAGCCATGTCACCAAGAGTACTCAACCACTGATTCCTATCATCTCAGCAACCCAAACCGGGTGGTGTACACTTGCCTAGACGCCTCAGACCAACGGTCAGGGACTTCAAATACTGGTTCTACATCTTGATCTGGTCACCCTTAATCCTCTTACTGCCTAATCCAACTTTCCTTAGCATGGCACATCGAGGTAGGCGGTGTTTCGCTATGTGTAAGCCACTGGTGACTGAAAGTCAGCGACCTCATCGACTGACTTGCCTGCCATTTCTGGTACTCTTCACTAGACTTTGACATTACCCGTTATAGTGGTCGCGCTATGCGTGTACAATGTTTCAAAGTACGTGTGTTCTAAAACCGGTAACGTTTTCATGTCTTTTACTTCCAACGGCCATCTCAGCCGTACATTAGAACAGAAGCGAGCGCAGCGCAGTATACTTGTCCCTTAACAGGTGGTTGAACTTTTCGTCAGTCGGCATTAGAGGTGACGTATGTTAGAGAATCTCCAAGGGCCATTTTGCATTTAAGCCGAGTTTTTGTCAGTCACTAGCTCGTTTAGGCTGATGAAACTCTTTAGTTAAGTGAATTGATCAGTGAATTCTACCTCTAAGATGAGAGTAGCTGCAAACCAGCCCTATCATTGGGTGCAAACCAACTTACTGGCTCCTGTAGAGCAAAGCTCACTGACTATGCCGTAAACTAGAATACGCAAAACACTTTTTAGTACATTCTATCCTGTCTGATTGAGTAAGAACTCACATACATCTCCATTTCGGTGAAAGAACATTAAGTAAACTCAGGCTCTTTGATCGCCTTTGAAAAATCCTTCAAGTTTTTGTGCATAGAACGATCGGATAATAAAGCGAACTAATAGAACGCTTGAAACTGGCTAAGTACTAGGCGATGAAATGTTCAACGATAACTATGCCGTCAAAAGAAGCACATAAAACATTTTCTATTCAATCTACGTATTACAGGATTGAAGGCTTTGTATCACTATCCTTTGTTATGAGCCACAGAATCTCCTTTAGTAGTTCAATAGTTCAAGCTACCACTGATAATGAAGTCGACCAAGTGCATAGGACGAAAAAAGTTACAAACAAGGTTAGTTTAACTTTTCAAATTTCAGAAATAGCAAAAGAGTGAGTAGGTTTACGCTACTGTGATCGATTTTCAGCCATGTAAACAACAGTCTCCAACCACTGATTCCTAGTGTCTCAAGGACACTAACCAGGCAGATTACACCTCGCTAAATGACTCTGACCAACGGTCAAGGACTTCAAGTACTCTTGTTAAGAATGACTCTTTCCGTCTTGAACCCTCTTCAAACCTAATCCAACTTACATCTTGCTATGCATATTAAGGTAGGCAGTGGTTCGGCACGTACAGCACATTTCCAAGCCACTTCAATCAGAAAAGGTTTACTAGCTCATTGACTGACTTGCTTGCCTGATCTAGAATCCTACGCCTGACCTGAAAGTTGCTCCTACGGTGACTGCACCATACGTAAGTAACGATTCGAAGACACTTGTGTTCGAAAACCCGTAACTTATCAATTTTTTCTAATTCCAATAACCATGGGTCACAGCCGCGTAACTGGACAAGACAAATTGCAATGCGGTATTCTCCTTCTTCAACTAGTGATGAGATACCTCATCAATCGGCACCAGGGATGATGCCAGCTAGCAAGTGTCAAACAGCCATTCTGTATCCTAGCTGATATTTCATCAGCCACTAGCCCATTTGGGCTAATGCAACTTCCCAGTACACATCCCACTCTTAAGCTTGGTTTAGCCGCAGACCAGTCCTGGGGCATCGTCTTACATTTGACCGACGCGAAACGCCTGCCAAAGATACACAAATTTCTACTCAAGGCGTTCGAGAGACCCTGCATTTCATCAGTGTCTTCATCTAAAGGGAGAATGTTACCTCGATACTCCAAGTCCACCAAATGTCCTTCAGGGAGTAGATCAATCCCTGCTAAGTCAGAGGTATCCAAGGTTCTGCCCATTATTACATCTGTGACTGAGTTAAACAGGGAGGATGATGGCCAGCATCCATGGTGGACTTCACTGGTTGTCGTTATTTCAGATGATAACTGTCCATAAGCCTTTACACGGCTGCGTGAGTTCGAGTAGAAAGCTTTGATTGGCGTTGTGTACATGAATGATCAGGGAAGTTGACCAATCCGACGAAACTATCATTGATTTCTTTACACTACCTAGTATTTTCATTGCTCTACTCAGTAATTTCCTACCTTCATCCTAAGTACGTTGAGTAGCAGATCACCAGGTCCTGATGAATTGCATCGTTTCAGTTTTGGAACAGCCTTCCCAACTTCTAAGAGGTTTGAGGATCAGCGTCTACATCTACATGCTGTTCAGGTTCTTGGTGGGTGCTGTTCAACCGAATCGTTGCTGTTGGCTGGTTGGACTGGGATTCAGGATGTTTCATCCAAATTTTCAACCCTATTTCGTGAAAGGTTATTGGTGTCTCATCCTTTTCGATGGTGGTCTCACTCACCATCTTTCTAGTATTCTTAATAATCCTAACCAATTGCGGCTATTATGTAATGCTAATGCCTCCTACATCTCTCACGCTCACGATCATTGTGAAGACTTGTTTTACTTTTTAGTTGCTTTCATTCCTCATTATAGTCAGAGCCAGCTGGAATGAGTCTTCTTGAATCAATCAGTTTGATTGAAGTTGGGGAAGTGCGCTGACTTTTGCTAGGCTTTGGGTGTGGCTATCAACTGTCTTTACTGCTGTTTCTACATCAGAATTAGTGTAACGCCAGATGTCCTCAGGATGATGATTTCTTTCACGTTCAGATAAACACCTAGCCATCTTATTCCTTAGTGCGTGCTTGGGGTTCTTATCGCCCAATCAAGTACGCACAGGCTTTGCTGCCACCAGTGAGGCTCAGATATATCCGTACCCGTAGTAAGGCGTGATTGGAATCCAAGCAGGACTTCCAAGATGCCTTTGCGATTGGCTCAGGTTCTCTACTTTGGCGTTAAAATCACCTACCATTATGACTGTATGCTCACGTTTTCCTTTCTGTAATAAGGTTGACAGCTTCTAATAGGATTCATCCTTTGGAACATATGAACTTCAGTAGGTGGGCACTACAAATAAGCACTGAGGAATGTCACAGTTTTTTCCAATTCTTATGGATTCATTCAGTTATACAGCGAACATGCAGCTATCGATTGGTATGCAGTCGGGCAATGTGGTTTCCGCTCTATAAAGTCTTTCTATGCCTCCACCAGCGAGTCCGTAAGAACCGGCCACCGAATGTCCGTATATTCCCAAAGTGACTTTTACAAATTCACTACATTGCATGAGTGAGGTTAAGGGGGGGTAACCACACCATTTCTGTCTGCATATCTTAGAGACACAGTATACATCCATGGCTCAAGATCCTGGAGTTTTTCAAGGGACACTTGTTGTTCAATATGGCATAGAGTTTAGACGTTCAAATTATCAATGTGTAATTGGTAGGAAGAGTCTTGGAGACGGGTTGATGCTCTGGTGGATTGTATCGTTAGCAATGGTTATGGGGTGAAAGGTTGAGGAAGTTGTAAGAAGCAGGAAGTGACATCAAGGGTGTAGACACAAATGAGGAAGGTGGGTTGTGGTTGGTGAAGGGTGTCACAGGTAATCCCTGACTGCTTCACATCGTAGACGTTGTTTTTGCAAGGTAGCTGCAAAACAAAAGGGATTGTTTTTCCACTACCGTAGAATGCATGACACACCTGCTTGAAACCTGTCACACTTCTTTTTTAAGGGTTTAGGATAAAGGTTTGATTGTGCTACTACCAGACAAGAATAATGCAAATCACCGGGACCAGAATACTGCAGGGCAGGGAGGAGTGCTATTTTTAGACCGACCCTTTCTAACCCATTGTTTCCATAGGCAAGACAACACCAACATAGTACTGCAGTCATCCGTGGGTGACACATTATTGCTGTCACACACCATCCAACCAGCACGTCTTCGCTCTCTGACCCCCATCATATTGAAGCTGTTTATACTGTGACGGTAACTGGTTTTAATCTCGCCACTATCCAAAAGATCTTTCTCTTATGGAGGTATCTCGAGGAACAAGTGTTCCAACCAGCGTATCTCGGGTTATTGTGATATGCAAACCCAACCACCACGTGATCGGATTATATCGACAAGGGGCAGGGAGAAGAAAGAAAAGCAGAAATACAAATAATTTACCAAAAGAGCATTCACTACTTCCATTCACTTTTCTATAGCAAAAGAGACAAGAGAGTTGGAGCGGGATCGGGATATCTGCTACTGCTGTAGACCTTGATCGTATGAGATGGCTTGAACAAGTGTTACGCATAACGAGCCACCGCCTACCTCGATGTGCCATGCTAAGGAAAGTTGGATTAGGCAGTAAGAGGATTAAGGGTGACCAGATCAAGATGTAGAACCAGTATTTGAAGTCCCTGACCGTTGGTCTGAGGCGTCTAGGCAAGTGTACACCACCCGGTTTGGGTTGCTGAGATGATAGGAATCAGTGGTTGAGTACTCTTGGTGACATGGCTGAAAATCGGTCACAATGGCTCAGACGTATTCACTCTTTGATATCTTCTAAAGCTTGAATATTTTGACTAACTCTTATCTTTAACTTGCTTACTCTCACACACCTTTGCTACTTTGATATCACTTTTCCAACCAACTTGTTTTTTTGTATATTAGTGTGAATTGAGACCACTTGAACCAATTCAGTTGTGTGCGAGGTTCTACGTTGATTTTGCTTTTGTTTTTGCATGATCTTTCAGACCACGTTCAGGGAATCGCTAGGTAACAGTAGAAGTAAGCCCAAGAGTGGTATCCTTCATCAAGAAATAACACGGTCCTTCTCTACGCTTCTTTCAGCCAGTTCTAGGGCTGAGAAATGATGAAAAGTCGTTTGGTATCTGAAACAACGTTCACACTATATGTCCGAGCCACTAACGTGTGTTTCAAGTTGAATTAATTGAATGAATGATGACATCCATTTCATTCTAACATTTACTGCCGCACTTCAAAATAGTTTTCTTATTGTTTCCGAAGCATGCTGGCAATATTTCAAAGAAGTTTAAGGGTATTCCGTTCACATTCAGCTGTCGCTCAACGAATTTAACGGTCGTTATGCAGTCGTAATTACTTAGCAATTCACACGGCGTTTTTCCTGATGGATCTAGGTATGGAAGCTAAGTGGGCGGAGACGCTGACGAAATACAATCTTCTGAACACTTTGAGCGAGATTGCGGCTATATTTGGTATGTATTTCACCTCTTTCAGCTGTAAGATGATCTTTTGAGATTGACTTGTACTATCTAGTTTACGGAAAGGTGGGGAGGGGGTAGTGGAGTGCGTTGACCACTTCACCTGCTTGTAGGAGTTACATCAGCCTTGATTTACTGCTTTGGAATGAAATTACAGCTAATATACGAAAGGTCAGCTTAGCACTTTCGAACTTACACCATCTCTGGCGTTGGAGAGAACATTACTGTCAAAGAACAATTATAGTATACTATGTTGCAGTTCGCCTCTCTCTAGTTTTAAGGCTGTTAGGTATGGTTGTTGAAAGTAGAAGACATTAAGAGGCTACAGATTCTTGACCACAGCTGTCACCGTAGCTTTTTTGCATGTGATAGAACCACAATTTAAGCAGTATCAAGGTATGACAGATTTCGTTTTAGGCCGCATTCTACGTTAATTTTTGACTGTGTATCCAGCTGGGTATAAATTGTTACAGGGATCCGAATAAACACCTAAAAATGCAGTTTTTCTTCCATTGTATTGGTTCCTGTACCATCATATTCAAAGGAAGTTTGCTGGATCGAACTTAACCGAACTGTTTTTCGGTTTGTTGTCCCGTTTCCAAATTCTAGTGTTTCTTCCAGAATGTTTTAATTCTCAGTAGTTTTTAGAACTACTTGTTCTCAATAATTGTCAAATCTAGTTGACATGTTACACAGTAGCACGACGATAGGAAAATATTTTATCATTGTTACTCAGCTGTCGTATGGTGGACGAAGCCATAGGCACTTGCATTTTCTACTTGAGCCTTAATGTGTACACGTCACTAGATTTTTCTACTCATCTAAAAGTCTTTCAAGAATAGAACGCAAGTACAAATGAGTCAATATGTTTGTAGTTACTTTTAATCAAAATCTTCCATACCTACTCAACTTGGGAGATTTCTAACGTATAGTTCCTATTTTAGGATTTGTCCTGGTGCGAACTTGACAGACGCAAAGACCAATCACTAATTATTCGAACTTGTTATATACCCACGAATACGAGACCAAGGAAGAACACGATAGCGTAGTCGGATGGAATAGTATATTTGGATGGTTATGCCAAAATACCGATGCGTTCCAACTAACTGGCTAGAGAGTCGAATACGAGCAATGCAACGTAACACGACAGCGTGCCAAATGGCCAGGATGCTTGACCGGATGCCTTCAGCTTAGCGAGTCCAGTTAAACTATCAAGGTCAGCATCAATGTCGAAGTCGTCAAACCCTAGGCTATTGATTTTGGGGAAGTGTATGACGCTACACTATACTGCTGGGTTCTTTCTTGCAAGACAAACTACCTGTTATAGAAAACTGTCTTCTCTTCTTTCTTGACCAATAGCTGGTACTTTGATGTTGTGTTCGGGCTTTCATATCGCAATGATCCAACGAGCTATGCCAGTAACACGCTTGTTCCCTCGAGGTCCTACCATGCCAGGAAGATCTGTTGGATATCGTTATAGTATAAATTACTACCCTATGGTGGTTGTGTGAGGACGAAACTGTACTGATGGGGTGTAATAGCACTCAAGTGTTTCTTTTGGAGAACCAGCAGTGTGGCACTGATGCCACCTTCCCAACGAGACGTGAGGGTTAGAAAAGGTCGGCCCCGGAAATAGCGCATCCTATACCCTCAGCGCATGCCAATGCTTGTAAAAGGGATTCATAGTCGGATTCAAAAACAGAAAACCGGAACCTCATTTTTAGAAGAGCGTACGTGACCAGCCGCTAGCGGATGTCCCATGGGCTTTGAGATCACACACTGTCTTTTCTTTTCTGGCACCTCAAGAAGAACTAGCCTCCCATGGTGTGGGCAACCAGGAAGTGTCAACAGCCCGCACGCTTCTAGTAGTACAGGAGACCCAATCAAATGTAATCTATCTTCCTCAATTTTGTCTAATCTTTAACCCTCACCTCCTGATACTAATATTTAACCTCTTACGCCTTACCCATTCTCTCACTCTTCAACCATTGCCAAATATCAAAGCTATCGTAACCTCATTCTTAGTGTCCTAAGACCCCGCCATCGATCTCAGAGTTTACGACATTCGAACTATATGCCAGATCGTACAGCTAGCATCGCTCACCAAAACTCTGGAATCCCAAGCCCTAGATGTATGTTATGTCACTAAAACACGTATGCAGGAACCGAGTGTGGTTATTAAATTGAACTCACCTGGTCATAGTAGTGAATCTTCAAAATTCACCCTACGAGTATCCGGAGACCCAATGGTTAGCTCTTGTGGACTTGCCAGTGTAGACATAACATTGTGGAGCAGAAAGTGCGCTCCTCGAGTAGATTCCAGTAAAAAGCCGTCTGTGTGCTGTTCGACTGAATGGATCTGTAAGGACTAAAAAAGATTGTGAGACTAGGTGATGGCTGTTCGTAATCTCCGTTTACTCGTCCGCCCATTGTAGTTTGGATGATGCAAAGGACGAATTTTATGAAAAGCTGTCAACCTTATTAGAGAGCAAAACGTTCAGGTAACTTTAACGCTCAAGTAGAAAAGCTGAACCATTCGGAAGGGTATCTTGGGGGTATTCACGGAATTGTTATTCAACGAAACGACAACGGTGATCATTTGTTCCTGGCTAGTACTAACTCTAGGCCTAAAGAGAAACTGTCTAAAATGGCATCCACCGGCTTCAAACCAACGATAGGTACATATAAATCACATTGCTAAGAGCCATCGGTGGGGAATCGTTCTTTCTTAAGCACCTCTTTGGACTCTGATCACGGGGTTTTAAAAGCACATATATGTCTGCGTCTTACTAGTCGCAGGAAACAGGCTATCGTAAAGCCTGTGTATTCTCGATTAGAAGATGGGGACGCCAAGTGCGTATTTAGGAAGGAGTTAGCTAAGCATCTATCTAAACGTGACGGCAATGGTCTTCCTGAGAAAACATGACTTGATATTAAGTCCGCCGTAGAAATAGCGGTAAAGACAGTTGGTAACCTACATATGAAGGTTAGCAAACGTCAGTGGATTTTCTTGACATCATCCAAACTGATTGATACGAGAGGACTGATTCCATCTGGCTCTGATCACGGCGAAGGTACCTGTGACCAAAGAGAAGAGATGGCAAAATTCAGGATCTTGTGAACGCATTGAGCAGAAATCTGGGTATGGTTAGCATACGTTTCGCACCTGTTAAATGTAAAATGATGCTTCAGGACTGGAGAGAGACAACTCTCATTCCAAGGATGGGGATTGATGTGGTGGGATCCGTTGAACACTTCACTTACTTGGGGAGTTGTATCAGCCCGAACAGGGTGGTTGGTGATGAAATCTCAGGTTGGATACAGAAGGCCCGGTTGGTATTTACCAACTTGCGTCATCTGTGGTACCGACTGGCGAGATACCCGACTATCTATCAAAAGACAAGTATACTGTGCCGCAGTCCTTTCTTTCCTCTTGTACGGCTGTGAGATATAGCTGTTGAAAGTAGAAGAAATGAAGCGGTTGCAGGGTCTGATCATAGATATCTTCGTAGCATTGCTCGCGTTTGGTGGAATCGTCATGTGATCAGTGTTGAGGTTAGGCGAAGGGTACTAAGTAAGTATTATTACTATTCGAACACACGTGGTTCGACAGGGGCACCAAGAAATACACTATACAAGATAATATAACAACATTCTGAAGACGTAAAACGGGGGGAAGTGGATAAAAATAAAAGACGGTTAGAATAAAATGATTAGAAGGGTAGTTCAGTAAGATACAATCAAAACAAAACATTTATTACTTTTCAGCAGCAGAAGATAGGAGAAAGCTACAACATGACTACCACTGGTGTCTATCCTAAGCCATATCTGACAATGTCTCAGGCTACTGAGTTGCGTGATCTCTCGGATCCCACCCAGAGAGTTATGATGAACCAACAGATGCTAACCTGATACAATTATTCTTCATCCCACGTCAGACACTAACCACCTCTTCGCTTCTTCTTTCCAGTCCCAGGGTTAGAAAACAGTGAACGGCATGGAGGCCGTTAGGACAGCATGCATAACACATGTCGAAGCCATTCAAGCCAGTGTTTTCAGATGACTTCACGTGTTGAATGATGATCTCCATCATGCCCAAATACGCTGTCGTATCTCAGGATTACTTACATGGTGTCGCCACCGGATGCGAGCAATCCCGAGGAGAAAACGATAATCCAGCACAAAGTCGTCGCATGTCCTCAACTCGAAAAGCCTAGGTTTCACAGACATAGAGCGGGATTGCTCGCATGCGGGTGTTGTAAACCCGACCTTTTACTGTGAGACTAACGTCATGACGGTGCCTAAGACGGCTCAGATTGACGTATGCCACGCTGGCTTACGATGTGGAGTTGGAAATTTCACCACACCTCCACCAGCGCACACAACTACCCAGATAGACAAACTTTTCGACTACTTCCAACGGCCCACCGCCGAGGATGAGTGCAGACACAGGTTCCTGTCAATCTTGCAAGAGTACTTTCCACTTTAATGGTGCAAAGCGCATACCATACTTATGGACACCAATCTCCAAGTGAATAAGTACAACTTGAGCAACTTGTGTGTTATTGCACAGTAAGACGATATCGTCCGCACATTCAAGGTCGAATAGCCGTTCTCTTTGTAGTAGATCTACACCACCATGACGCACTTTATAGCTGTCAAGAATGTCGTCAGTGGCAAAGTTAAAGAGGAATGGGGAAATCGTACATCCTTGCCCAACCCCACTGCTGGTTTGGGACAATGGAGACAGGTGCTTGCATACCCTCATTCCACCTAGAGTATTATTATATAGGGATTTCACGATGTTAAGAAGTTTCTCAGACACGCCCGCTCCCAACACTCAGTTCCAGAATACAGCTCTATCCAACGAGTCGACGGCAGTCCCAATGTCAAGAAACACAACGATCGTTGGCCTGCAATACGTCTGGCGATGTTCAAGCATCTGGCGGAGGGTAAACACACAATCAATGCGACCTATGACCTGAATGAAACCCAGCCTGCTTCCCGCAAATCATTTTCTTATGTGTTTTGCTAAGTCTGCGAAGTATGATAGCAGGGAATGTTTTTGACGCTACTGGTAAGGGACTAATACCCCGACAATTGTCATATATATTACGTAGACCTTTTTTAAAGGTGGAAGCAACAATTTCTTCATTCCAGAGTGATGGAAAACCCAGTTTGCCATATTTTCCGAAACAATCTAGTCAGTTCCCTGACTAGAGTCATTCCTTCGTCCTTAAAAGGCGTCGGGGGTAAGTTGTCTGGGCCGGGTACCTTGTGTCGTTTAAAATTTTGGAGTCAGTGTTAACTGACTATGGAGCACGGTACACCGAAGGTGGCAATGCTGGAGCCGTGAGCCAGCTAAACTGCTTTCCGAACTGCTCCGCCTAGTGTTCGAGGCGTCTTTGGAGATTGTTTATCGGCGTACCATATACCTCACCGACCGTCTCACTGACACCTAGTTTCTTGCTGCCAGTGGCTCAGATGAGCTGGAATAGCTTTCGACTATTGCCAGATGCCTCTGCTTCTTCCATCTCGCGCGTTCTGACCACCAAGAGAATTGCGCCAACCATTGTACTCGCTATCCGATGGAATGGTCCAATAGGGGTCAAGAAGTTGCAAGGAGCTCGCAGAGACCCAGTATTTATTAACGGAATGTTCTTTCAAGCCGCAACCAGCTTCACATACCATTTTATGACATCTTGCAAGTGCAGCCAATGCTCATCTACATTTTCTGGAGGATCGGTAGAGAAGCTTAAATTTAGCTCGAATTGGTATTTAGATGTAATAATAGGTGCAACTAATTTTCTGGCATCGACCTGTTTAGTACGACGATTTTGATGACCATCAAAACTCAAGACGAGCTTAGCACACATGAAAGCATGATCAGAGTCGATACAAGAACTCCATATAGAGTGGCAGTCCTGTATGCACGTACGCCATCGGTAGCTGATTGCAATATGACCTATTTGAGTCAAGGCTTGAGTGTCGGAGGGAGGAACCTAAGTAGCACAATGGCGTTGGCTGTGCCGAAAGTTGGTTCTGGCACAAAGCTGCAGACGGTTCCCGTTATCCGACTTATGGTCAACTAGTCCCCATTGGTCACCTAGGTGACTCTCGGAGTCTAAACGCCCAACCTGCGCATTAAAGTCCCCAGCTAGCACTATTATATCTGTCGGGTACACTTAGTTGAGGTCACTCAGTTGATTATAGAATTAATACTTGATTGCATCCGGGCTGCAATCCGTCGGAGAATAAGCAAAGATGACAAAGAGACATCGTTTCCTTTTCCGGTTACTTCTTAGTTGAGTTGAACCTTCTAGCCTAACAGCACATAGACGACTGTTGATGGGGATCTAGTCGATTAGCGCAGCTTCGGCTTGATCGCTTAATACGACACCGACGTCGGTTGCCGATACTACAGGGTCCCCGGATAAGCGCACATGAGACACTTCGAGCTGACAGTTGGGGATCTATTTTGGAGGACTTCACTGGGATCTTGTATGTAGGTCTCAGACACAGCATACATCAATGGAGAGGCCTTCCAAAGTCCTAACCAAACCTGCCTGTTTTCCGATCTGTATCAAGATGTGTACGCCCTGCAGGATAGCTTTATGAGGGCGATTGTTTAGTGACTGGAAACGGTGCAGACAGACCAGAAGCCTAAGCAGTGGAGAACAGCTGAATGAAGTGAAGATTATAACGAAAGCGAAAACAGGTATGATAAAAAAATACGGTCCATATATAAAAACAATATAGTAGCAATAAATTGAGTAATCAGTTGAAAAGTTCGCAGTGTGGAGAGCTTGAGTATTCACGGAAAGATTGATTAGTAGCTGCAAAATCTCTTTACGCTGTAAGTTCATAGTTCACTTCTTGTGTGAGGGCTGGAATACTGCCCGGGCACCCAAATGGGAGCAGGTGGTTGTCTTAGGGGACCACTCCCCGAGCCTTTGAATTAAAGTCTAATCCACAAGGCAGTGGAGCAACAATAGAAGCTGCATTCCCATAGTTTCCGGTAACAAAAATAGGTTCATACGCCATTCGTTTCGTCTGGAACCTGGAGCCGATGAGCAACATTGGTTTGGAATCAGGGTTTTCCAACTCCCGTAGTTGGACCTTCAGTATCAATCAATCCCGTTATAGGCACTGGACATTCGCTTGTATGCTTTCACATCTGTGAAAACACCCCTTCCATGTGAAGGCAGTGAATAGGACTTCTCATGTAGATGCTGTGAACGCGTACCAGAGCGTTTGGGGGCAGGCAGTCGATTGATGAAATTGTGAACACCAATCGTCTGAGATGGCTTGGACATATACTGCATATGCCGAGCCACCGCCCACCTCGATGTGCCACGCTAGGGGAAGTTAGAGTAGGTTGAAAGAGGGTTTAGGGTGGTCAGACAAAGACGTGGCATCACTCGATGAAGTCTCTCACGGTTTTTCTGGGCCATGTGGGGAGGTCTAGACTGGCTTGCTAGGGTACCCGAAACGATAGAAATCAGTGGTTGAGGATTGTTCGTGACATGGATGAAAATTGGTCACAGTGGCGCAGATGTCTTCACTCTTTGATATCCTCTAAAGCCTGAATATTTTGACTAACCTTTATCTTCAAATTGCTTATTCTGCCACGCAACTTTATTTTCTTTACTTTTTCTATCCACCTGTTCTTTGTGTACTACTATGAAGTATGGCAAATTGAGCCTGTGCAGTTGTGTATGGGTTTCTATGTTGATTTTGTTAACCAGCCAGTCTTTTCTTCTTTACAAGAATCTTAACTCCTCCCTCACTCGATATTTCTGCGTATATGGTAGATAAAAAGTGGTAGGTGAAACTGATGAGCTTCTTTATCTGGTTTCTGAGTTTCTGACTGTGGTTGAAGCATAATATTCTTTTGTTAATGAATTCACATTTGTGATTCTTTGGGAAAATCTCGTCGTCCGATTAATTTCTCGTAAACCTTACTTCTAATATTCGGCCATAATTCTTTCAATACCCATGGGGTTCTGGTATGAAATTTGATGGGGATCTTCTATGCCCACTTTAAGTTGTGTTCTGTTTTCCATCCTACATAGGTTCATTTCTCTTAGTCTGGATTTGTCGATGAAATGCCATGTGGAACCATAGGTACTGCCCAAATGCCACCAGACATTGCACATAAACTCATCCTTATAGAACGTTAACGGGTAGTCCTTGTCATACAGTGTGCCAGAAATTCTATGTATTTATCCCTTCTGGTAAGCGTATAGGTCACTGTTAAAGCTTTCAGTTTTAATTCGTTTGTTTCCTGATTGAAACCTGCTTCATGTTTCATTTTGGGCAGTTGATTAGTATTGCTGCAGCTTTCATTGTAGGTTTAGCTCAGCATTGTTCACAATACTCTGCAATTTCTGATGTGTGGTTCATTGGTGTAGGTAAGTCATAGTTTCGAATCTTGCTCTTCACATGAAGATTGAGAAGTTTCGAAGTAGTATCATGTGTCTTGACATAACAGATATAGTTCAAAGCTCTGTGTGCTAATTCGTTTAGGGAGTTGACTTTCAACTAGTGGGTTACAGGTTCGAACACTGCTCCACTTACCGAGGTTAGGGGACTCAGGTAGTACTATTAACTCGTACAACAGGTTTAGCTCGTTACCTGCTGCGCAAATGTACACAAGGCTACTGAAAGCATTTTGATTTTTATTCCTGCTAACTTGTACTTAATCGTTGACTATTGAGCTTCATTCATATTATTTGTTTATTAACTCAGTGGTTTATCCATTGCTTTTCATTTGCTCATTTGGGCTTTTTAAATCTTGGTTTTACTTATGATTAGGTTATCGAGAATCTGGGTTACACGCTAGTTTAAACGTGGAATAAATCGTAGGCTACATGCATTACGTAAAGACTAGCACTACCATCCAGCAACATAGGTGGAAGTAACTGAAATGTGCTTAATCGAGTAACCAAATGGTTGAAAGTACAGTATGTAGACTATTAACCTGCCATTACTGTTTTGTGAACTTTTATATTCTCTTTCTTTACATTTATAGTAGCTGTCCCCTTTTTTTAACTTGCCTCAACGAAGAATCCTACGCCCAGGAATGCTTGTAAGTTAATTATATCTTAACGATTGTTTTAGGCATTTTTAATTTTATTGCTGGCTGTTTACCTAATTATTATTGTACCGAAATGGCTTGTCCAATACAGAAAATCTGTTGTACGCAGTGATCTGGCGAAGAAATATGGAGTTTCAGCTAATCACAAGATAGTTGCTTTCTTCCATCCATATTGTAATAGTGGTGGTGGAGGTGAACGTGTTCTCTGGATTGCAGTTAAGTGCATGCTAGAAAAGTAGGTTTTTGTTATCTGTATGATAATGTATAAAATTCTTCCCTAAATATAGGTATAAAAATATCATAGTTGTTATTTACACCAATGATACCGACTGTCTTACAAATTCTGTTAACGTGTTGCATAATATCAAAAAAGTGTTTGGAGTATCTATCAATTCATCTGGTTCTCCTGCTATACATTTTGTTCCATTGAAGTCACAGTTCTTACTAACACCAAAAGTGTATCGTGTGTTTACACTAGCTGGTCAAGCTTTCGGATCTATACTTGTTGGATTGGAAGCTGTATTCAGATGCCCACCAGATGTCTATATTGATACTACAGGATTCGCTTTTACAATGCCTTTAACCAAATGGTTAAGTAATTCACTGACAGCTGCCTATGTCCATTATCCAACTATATCTTCGGACATGTTACAGCGTATTTCGTCTTCATTTTCTTGGAACAATAAAAATCGAACAGTTTTAACTTATAATAATGCTGCATGGATAAGAAATAGTAAAATCTTTTCTAGTATCAAAGTTTTATACTACAAATTTTTTATCAGTGCATATAGATTTGCTGGTTCAAGTAGAAATATTGATGTTGTAATGACAAATTCATCATGGACTCAAAGACACATCCAATCTCTCTGGGGTGGGAAACCTACTGTACTTTATCCTCCATGTCCTACAGAGGATTTAACGAATAAGTTACTGAATCAACAACGAAACAAGTGGATCCTATCTGTTGGCCAGTTTAGACCGGAGAAAAATCATCAGGTTAGTGTTTAGGTATTTCTTACTGAGGTATACTATCTTTCAAGTGTTTATTTACAGATTGCCTGGTAAGGTTTTTTCATACGGCAACTGTTTTTTAGAAATTAAGCTGTGTGATAATTAAGTCCTAAGTGCTAATCAACTAAATTTAACAAAGTGTACTGCAGTTTAAAAATCAGTCAGCTAAAGTCTAGTCAGTCCATTCTTACAAATGTTCTATTGTATATCAACCAGCCCCTCAGCAATTTCTTTGAATGAGATACTCGATTTCGTGTATTTTCCTTTTACGATATGTGTAATTAGTATGGGTAACTGTGAAAGCTTGGAGTATAAACTTACCTTATTTCTTCTGTCGTGGTGTTCTACAGCATGATTCATTGTTATTCTACACCTTGGAGGTTGGCAGGTGTGATTTGAAATAGTGCAGAGTTAATATTTAATACTGCTGCATAATTCTCTGCACTTTTAAATAATAGTCTTTGAGGACTCAAGATATTTCCAGTATAATAAGCATCAGTAAGAGCAGTTGCCTAGTTCGGTTGTGTTCTTTTAATGCCATGGGATTAAAATCTACGTCCTCTAATCTATAATTTCTGAAAAGCCAAACAACATAAGTTATATGAGTCAACTGTTATAATCTCGACTATTTTATTTCCCATTGAAAGTTGACACATTAATGTGGTCATATAGTACAATTATAGTGTTTGCTTGGTGTTTCGATGCATAACATTCATTCTCTTTCAGTTGGCAGACGGAATTATCTGAAGATGAGTAGTTGATGACAATGTCGACCACCTTTACTCTTGAGTGATTAATTTGTAACTCATTTATCCACCTGATGTTCGGTTAATGTCTCCTCTGAGCTGTTTCTTCGTTTATTACGGATAAATATGGAAAGTTTACGAAGAGCAGCACAAAGACGATCCTAGTAACCACATCACTTAGACTTATGAATGTGTAGTTGTCATCCTTGGCTTCTCTCTCCTGCTAGTTGACCACTGAATAATTAGAGTGTAATCTATAAGTACGTTTGTGTTTATTTGGGTTTTGTATACTACTGAAATCGTACCTATAGTTTGTACTTTCAGGTTGCCTACCGGGTATGTTTCTGTGGAGCCCGGCGGATATATGCTTCATCTCCTTCCCATATTAACTTTTCGGAAGTTTGGGATTTAAGTTTGATTGGGTTTAATCCAACGAAGGAAACTCATACCACCGAGCACTGGAATATAGGAGTGAAGGGAAGAGTGCTGTTTTTAAGGCCGGCCTTTCCTTAACCCCCTTTTCATACGGAGAGCATCATGACCATAGTACTATCAGTCATCCGTAGGAAACATCTTGCTACCATCGCACCCCATCCAGCCACCAGCACGACTTCGCTCTTAGACCCCATCATAACGTAGCTATTTACAATATAATGGTAACTGATTTTTATCTTAACACTATCCGAAAGAACTTGCTTGTATTGAAGAATCTTGGGGAACAAGCGTTCCAGCCAGCGTAGCTGATTGGGTTATTGTAATGTGTAACCCTGATCACCACGTCAAGTTAGCAAATAACGGTTAGGCTGGGATCCTGGAGACAATAGGAACTGATGTTTTTTGGAGACTGGGTGATATGATTGAAAATTAGTCACAGTGACGTGGATTTAAACACTCTTTGTCATCTTCAAAGTCTTGAAAGTTATGTTAACACTCATCTATTTCTCTACTCTCCTCTCGTACACATTTTCCTACTTTAATATTACTTTTTCTAATCACTTCCCTGCATACTGCAGTGAAGTGTTGCAACTTGAACTGATACGTCTCTGTTGTACGTTCTACTTTGGCGTGTCTATCTTTTAGTCATAATTTAGCCGTTGTGCACAACAATCGATGGTTTTTATACTTAGGTTAGATGGTCATCACTAAATGCAATTTCGCTGTCATTGGATTTTTTTTGTCATATTCTTATGTTATTACTGACTTCACGGTTTATGAAGACATACCTTAAGTCATAGTACATGGTGAAGTGACCACCGAATCAGGATTTAAATGCCCATTAAAATGTTTCTGGCGACTAGTTATGTACTCAGCTTCACGTAGAGCTGAGCTTATACACTTGTCAAGTTAATTTTATCGTTGACTGTAGTATCCAACACATCTTATGTATATCACAAACTTGCAATGTGTTTAGTCTTACATGCTGGTTTTAATAAACACTGATTTTCGCTTTCCCCCTCTCAGCTGATTGTTTTATGTAACGGTTATTTGTATTTACGTTCATTACTGAAGAATACAGATAGTTTTGCGATAGCTGTTAACTTTTGCGATGTAACGTGAATTTGGTGTGTAGTTTAAAAAAATTTGTACACAACTCTACTATGGTCGCTTAAGGTTAATAAAGTTTGATTTCCACAGAACGATTTTGAAACGGCCTTCGACAGCATCGACCGAGAAGTGATTTGGCAGCTGCTTCAACACTACGGTTTAGTGCCACTAACCTTCATCAACCTCATTCAACAACAGCTGTATACTATTTGGTGCTACATGCTAAATGGTTCACAATGGAAAGCTCAATAATGCCTTCGAAGTGAAGATAGGAGTAAGACAAGATTGCCCATTATCACCGACAATCTTCCTGATTTTCGTGGACTGGACTGGATCATGCAACAAACTGTGAGGAGTGTGAAGATAGGCATACGCTGGCTGGACCAATGAAAAGACTCAGAAGATTTGGATTTCGCCGATGATGATTTATGTCTAATGTCTTGTCTCACGAACTCGAAGATCTACGGGCGAAAGCTACAAATTGGGTGAAGGGGCGAGGCAGCGAAGATGGGACTTCAGGTAAACGTAGAGAAGACAGAGGTGATGAAGATACTCAACCAGCAATATATATATATATATATATATATATATATATATATATATATATATATATGGACGCCTGAACAATAACCTTAAGTTTCCACACCTTGATGGTCGCTCAGTTTCTCGATATATGGAAAAGGCGTTAATATAACAGGTGTATTTCAATGTCAAAAATATATTCTGAATAGAATGGTTTATGTATATCCACAATAACCTTGACTGTTTCCAGGCCTTTCTAGATTCGGATATCCTATTGAATTTTGTCTCTTAAAGCAGTCTCATATTTACCCATTGGTTCACAAGCTTTCTGTCGAAACTTTATTTCGACGTGACTGGCTATAGAAGGCTTCAGAGATGTGTGACTTTTTATGAAGATCATAGCAATCGTATTCCATACTATAACAATTTCGTCATGTTCCTTCCGGCCTAAATTTGTGCTTTGAATCGGTAATGTAAAACATATGTTCTACAGCAATTAGGTTTTCCTTTGTAACTTTGAATAGGAAAGTAAGACTGATTTACCTGTATGTAATTCTGTTATTTTCCTTCTCATACTTTATTTTTCATTACATTGAACTCTTCTGATTAGCTTATTACATGCCCCGACTTTTGAATCATTTTTGTATGTGAATAAAATTCATGAACTATGATGTCGTTATCAGTATGATGTTTTGGTAAAATCTTGCTTTCAGTTTTCTTAGATATTTATTTTCTATCACAGTGTTCGGGTTCTATAACGCCATACTATGTTGAAAGTGCCCAAATATTCTTTCAAGTATATTACTATCCATTCACAAAGTGCAATGAAGAATACTCACTTTTAAAGAGGGCGATAACTGAAACATGTGAAGATAACCAACTTTTATGATCTATCTCATAATCGTTTATGTATAAACGGGATATATTATTGCTTTTTTATTTCATAAATTGCATCATTAACTAATATTTCTACTAAGTAACATAAGTTGTACTGAAAGCACCAAACACTGGGACAAGGAATGACACAATTTCGTCTTCATTTTTTTTTAGCTTCAGATAATAGGGAATTAGGCAAGAAAGATACTAGATCGGTCCAATTTTTGACTGAACCGAAAACGGTGAGACTACAGGAAAGCCTTCAAGTATACATGTTTACAACGTTCTTGGGACAGTCAATAACACATTAAACTCACAGTTGAGCCATTCAGAAAAAATTGTTAAAAGCGCTAAGTTTTAAAATTATGAAGCGGGGGAAAGCAGAAAGTTAATTATTAAGGAATATACGACTCAGTGGGTTCGGTTGAATAAGTAGAAAAATGCATGTGTTAAGCATAAGGATAAAAAGGTTTGCTAAGTGGGTTTTCTGAACATATAACGTGGTAATTATCTTAAGGTGATATATGGCGTCACGTCTTTCTCATGCAATTCGAACCTGCCCCCTACATATATGTGCAAACGTGTAGGAACTCAAACAAAAAGGCCTAGCTTTTGTACAACAGCTTGTGTCTCTACTTTGGTTAGGGTAGACCAACTGAATGATTTTGTTTCTATCGATTTTGAAGTTCCCTTCTTCCATTAGGATTTTTCCAGTTCTTTCATAACTTAACAGTGTTCAAAGTGACTTTTTGCCTCAATACTTCGCACTGTAATGTTCTTTTCGAAGCTGCCACCTGCTTTTACTACTAGAATATCTGTTCACACTAGCATATCGTTCTCAGTATTCTTATCGTGTTTTGTATTGCTGTTGTTAATAATACTTTCCATTACTCTGCATTGCATAATTCGCATTTCTATTATTGTTGATTAACAAATTACAACGATCAGGGTATAGTTTGTATACTTGTGGAGTGTAATGTATAGGAATAAAGTCTGAGTGGGATCTGATTCGAAATAATATTGTTTACTTAAATGCTCTGTTCTAATTTTGATAACCATCTCGGCTAGTCACGATTTAATACCTCTGTTTATGATACATCTCGTTTTTCCTTTTTATAGCTCCAGTTAGATGCATTTCATCGTTTCCTCAATCGACAGACACTAACCAAAGAAAATAATGAACAGTTATTCAAACTATGTTTAATAGGTGGTTGCCGAGATGCTGAAGATTGTGCTCTTGTTTTAAAACTCAAAGAACATGCTGCTGCATTGAATCTTGGTGATGTTGTAGAATTCCATATTAATCTACCTTACCAGGAATTAAAAACTTATTTTAGCCACTGCTCTGTTAATCTACATACTATGGTGGATGAGCATTTCGGAATCGGTAAGCATACATATTCATTTTTGTATTGTAAAAGCGGTTCCGCTGACAAATAGTCTAATAACTTCCATAAAAGTATCAAAGTTTGTTTTTGAGCAGAAGCTAAGTGCACAGTTGGTTTGCTTTTCCCCCCATAACGTGTCAAGATTAGCTGCTTTTTTGATTTTGCACAATACCTGACAAGTGGGTCGCATTGCGTTTAATGTTGTCGTTATCAATTTCGCATAGTAAATACTGTTGACAATTTTTTTCTGGTGTTGGTATTCTGTTTCTATTTCAAGTAATACGTCGTTATTGCTCAGGAGTCATTGATCTTGTTAAAGCTATACATATGACCATTATATCGATCACCGGTGGGATATTAATGATGATTGTAGATAGTACTTAGAAGTTCTAATGCAGCTTAATCACTAAATGTAACTCAGTACGTTAGTATTCAAGTTGTGTTAACCTGTTGTGCAAATGTCATGAGACGGAACAGGATTTGAACTTGTTATTTACTGTTTGAAAGTCGGTTACATAGTCAGTTTTCCTTCAGACTCTCCAAACAATTCCTAGCCGAAATCCGTTCAGCATTCTTTCGTCGGGCAATGAGGTGTACCTATTATGTGGGCGCTAGCGATACTATGTGGCTGCCGAGACCTTGGCAGGTAGAGCAATGTTCAGACTTGTGACCCATTAGTTGAAAGTTATCTCCCTAAAGCAGTGAGCCACAGCTCCACTACAAACAGTTAGTAGGCTTAGAGGTGGTTAGCTTATTACCAAGTCTTTTGAAGTTTTCAGGGAGCTGTCAATTCCTTTACCACAATGTGAATTCTATTTATCTAATTAGGTGATTTGTTACAAGGCGAAAATTGATATCTGGCTGCAAAAAAATTGTCTGATAATCAACCGAGTATCTACGATTTTTAATGTTTTAGATAGAGTATTTCAAAGAAGTATTTAGCAGTTAAGAAATGCTGATGACTACAAACTGACAAAATCAGCGTAGGACCTCGCACAGGTGCATCGGCTCAAGTTGCCACGCTAAAAATACGGATAGGGTTTTCTTATGTGTAATTTGATAGATTGCTTTTTTTCCAATCAACTTATCTTTAGTACTTCGGGAAGCAAGTTTCTTGTGTAACGACTGAATACTTTATGAAGTATCATTATTCTCTGTAAATGTTAGTCATATGGAAGTATCATATTCATTGACGAGCGCAAAACGAAATGTTTGATAAAGGGACAATTGGCAGTTATAAAAGCCATCAACTATTCTATTGTCTTTTCTTCTTAGTTGGATTATGTTGGTCGATTACTAATGGACTTTTACACACATTTTAATGGTTTACTTGTAAGTAGTAGTACAGTATGCAGTATAGAGGATTCATGACCCCTAAGTGTCAACTTTCTGTAAGATTGGTTAAATTTTCCTTTTTTCTTTAGGGCACGTATTCATATATTTCATGAAACAAGCTCTTTGAACTTTTTGGTCTAATAAAATACTACTCAGGAGGGTACAATTTGCAGTTAATTAAGGTAAACCCTTGTTTGTAAGTCTGCGACTTGTGTATTCTATGTCCCAATGGTTTAATTCTTCGTGAATTCTTCATTGTCGAGTATTCACCGTTATGTTGCGTGTGATCATTGGTTTCAAGAGGGATAAAAATACTGTTTACATTTCTTTAACTTATGTACAATCTTGACCATTATATTGTGACGATATAGTATTCTCTTACTGGTTATATTTTTAAGGTATTGTGGAAGGCATGGCTTCAGGGCTTATCACAGTTGCTCATAGATCAGGTGGTCCGCTTACTGATATTATTGGACCTTCAGAAAGCAGTACATCATCCAGTCAGTTGGAAAGATCAGATGTTGGATTTCTTGCATCCACAGCTGATGAATATGCAGACATTTTCGAGTTGATACTACTGAAGATGTCAGAACCACAAATTAATGTCATACGCCAGAATGCTGTTAAGTGGGTACGTGAAAAGTTCTCTGAGGATTGTTTTACCAGTGGTTGGATTGATCAAATGAATTTACTTGGCTTGGAGTTAATCTCTTCATGAAAAGAGTGTTTTGTCATATTTCTCAAAATATGCTTTCTTCTTATATCAGATTATCTATTTTAGAACTTTTGACGGTTTCAAAGTGAGAAAATGTGATTTTTTTCCTGTTTTGTTTTCAATAGTGAAATAACTACTTCCTGTTTCCGCAAAGATTATATTTTTCTGTAAAAATTGAATAATGTGTCTTATTATTAATGGGTTTGGTTATCTCGTGTTTATTGATTTCGTCATTGAATTGACTTATAGACCACTTATAAAGGGTATTTCAATGTTGTCTTTAATAATTGAGTATAATGTAGTTTGTAGTGTTAGCTACAACTAGAATCCTAAGTGCATGTTTCATCTGACTTGGGGCTCAAGGGATATACGAATTTAGACAAACAAAGGCAGAAGAATAAGGTGTTCACAATTTTGGGATGCTTTAGTCAATGAAGGTATTCAAGTTATCGTGATAACTTTCAGGCAGATTTGTACCATGTCTATTCTCCCTTGGTCACCAGGGGTGTAAAGCTCCCTATTCGGTCCAAATTGTCGCTGATTGGATACTTCAGCCTAGTTTTTGAATTTTTCTGATCTATTCCGTCTTTCATCATCACCAAGTGTCACAGCAGGCATTAGTTATGTATGTGGTTAACACTGTAATCAAATTTAGCTTTGATTAGTGTTTTTATCTAAAAAGGTGAAACAATGCAGAGCCTCTCGCAAAAATTCAGCAGTTAAGTTATCATACCTTATAAGAGTGCATGAAGTGAAAATCAACGGGAGTGGAAAGATATTTAGTGAGATGAAAAGGATACGAAGGGAAAGAGTATAGATCAACAAAAGTCATCATGATGTTTAGGCTTTCAAAAGTCATACATAGTGAGTAAATCTACACTGTTGTTACTCGTTTCATTACTGTATCACAGAGGGACTGTAACCATTGATATTTTAAGGGCCGCAGCAGCTTCAATTCATATTTGGGATCTGTTATTTTTATATTAGTAGTTATCAAATGAAGATTAAGGATGTATTGGTATACCCTTTTTTCTTCCTAAGAAGTTGGTAGCATGCTTGTCAAACAGTAAGAATAACTCGACTTACTGACCTACTATACTCACTCTTTATCGTTCGGTATTTTGTCAACAAATAAGCTTTGTTTAACTGATTAACTGAAAAGAATTCAACTTTGGCAAGTCAGTGTACATTGTTGATAGGTATGCTGGGGTAAAAGAAATGACTCAAATTGACCAGTATTAAAATTTTCGTTGTCAGGAATTAGCCAAACAGTGAATGAGTGTATATCGGTGAGATCGATTATGAATCACCTGGAATACAATCTTCTAGCATGTTATTCCATTCAAGTTGACGGCATCTCTGCGTTCTAATCTGTCTGGACAAACTTCATGAGGCTTTCGTTAACCAGTCGTATTGATTCCTGTGAGATCAAAACCGCAATTTGTCTTCAACCTCTCATAATAAGTATGTAGTTCTGGCATGACCCACTGGTTTGCTCATACGCAGATAGTAGTATAAAATTGCCATTTATGAATTCTTACTGCTTTTCAGTGTTCTCTCAAACATGCATTGTCCTGCAGTCATGCAAGAGGATCGAGTGTTCTACCGCTGTGTGTATTTCATATTTGAAAGGCGTATAGCAGATTATTTATACAATTAAAAAACTTTGTGCATGCGTGAGTCTGTTAAATACCATTCGAAGTTACTTTGAATTTGCTGAAATTTCACTCATCAGTTAGTTGTTGTTTACTGTAACGACCAGGTAAGAGGAACTATAGGTTTGTTCACGCAATTCATTTCCTGTACACAAGTTACTTAAGGAAAAACATTTTTTCTCCGGATGGTCAAATGTTTGTATTTTCAAGCCTCTTAATTTCGCAAGATCTGCCTCATTCAAACACTTTGAATGCCTTAATCTCTTAAGTAGATCAACTGAGTTTCAGTCTCGACAGCTTACTACTCAGACTAAAAAATGTAGTTAGCATGTGAAGCATAGTGTCAACGCGTCGTTAGAGTATTCTGAGGCCTTGCTTTTTGGGCCTGTGTCGATTATATCCTTTGATATTTCTAGCTGGGCGTTCTTATGTTATTGTAGATACAGCTTATAGAGGTGACTATTTTTTTCGTTGTTGTTGTTGTAAGTTACATGTATGCTGTCTATATTGAGATATAGGTGATGGAATTAAAAAAAAACTTGTATCTGTCGTATGAGCATAAACTGACACTATTAGTGGTCGCAGTAAACCTTTTCAGGGTATGTGTAGTGTATTTGTAGTTGCTGTTATTATTACTAGGTAACTCATACTGAAATTAGTTATTTCCGATTAGTTCATGATGATCGCGGATTCTGTATCCAATTTTGTGTTAAGTGAATGACACTTCTTCATGTATCTATTTGATTTTTTATTTAAATTGTTGGAAGTAATTAGTGCAGATCTTTGGTCTGAGTTCCATATACGTTTTTTCTTATAGGTGCCTGTGATCCACGGGTAGAAGTGGTTAACGAGCCACGCCTTCAGGTAGGCGTATCATGTAAAATATGCAAAACTTAGGCTCTTGTAATACTTTGGATACTCTAGACTTTTCAAGGTCAACTTGTTACGCCTTCCAACACCGAAATAACAAACAACTGAGAAAAGGGATATATATATGACATTTCTTACAGTGTTATCATCACATATCAAATAATTATTTTGATTTGATTCTAATTATGTACGTCGTATAATGTTACCGTGTTCCTTGCTGTTTGCTAAAAGAGGCATGACTATATCTTCTATCCATGGCAGAAGCTATGCGAATCAGAACAAGATAGTTGATCTGTGTATTCAAAATAAATATTTTCGTTCAACCTGTCTACTTTGGCCAACTATACAGTGAATACATTCTTTCGAACTTTGCTATAAATTTCACGTTTTTCCTGCTTTCCACCCCATCCTATTTTACTTTGTCTCTATCCTTTCGTTGACAAGCATTTGTTTTTTTACGTTAGTAGTTTTATGACCTTGTTTATTATTAATGGAGGCACTATTACTAGTGCAGTGAGAGTTACTTATGAGGATGCATATAAGTAGTACACAGAGCAACTTAGAGGGGGATAGCTATTTGTTATATACATAGTTGAGCTACTTTCTGGCCAAAATTCACTTATGATAAAGCTCTAACATTCTTCTGAGTGTTATCACCGCGATAGACAGACGAAATCAACGTAGAACCTCGTATGCAAGTGCATCGGTTGAATTTGCCACCCTTTACGCTAGTATACAAAGAACAAGTGGGTGGAAAAAGTGATATCAAAGTAGACAAAGTTATTTGAGAGAACAAGCAATTTGAAGATAAAGATTAGTCAAAATATGTGTGAAACTTGGGCATTGTGGAGTTAGTCAAAATATTCAGGCTTTAGAAGACATCGAAGAGTGGCCGATTTTCAGCCATGTCACCAAGAGTACTCAATCATTGATTCCTGTCGTCTCGGCGACCCCAACCAGGTGGTGTACACTTGGTTACACGGCTCATACCAGCAGTCGGAGAATTCACGCACTTGTGGGATGTCTCCTGTGGCCACCGTGAACCCTCTTTCAACCCAATCTAACTTCGAGGTCGGCAGTGACTAGCTATACTCAGCACATGTCCAAGCCACCTTAGTGACTGAAAGTCAACAATTCCATTGACTAACCTGGCTATCTTACTTAGTACCCTTCGCCTGACCTCAACATTACTAACAGAATGATTCCACCGTATACGAGCAATGCTACAAAGATACCTGCCGGAAAATTCTGCAATCTCTTCGTATCTCTTACTTTTGGTGACCTCATTTCATAGCCGTATAGGAGGACACAACGAGTTGCGGTGCAGTATACTCTTCCTTTGATAGGTAGTCACATATCTCATCGGACGGCACCACAGGTGACTCGAGTTGGTAAACGCCAAATGGGCCTTTTGTATCCGAGCTGAGATTTCGTCAACAACCAGCCCGTTTGGGTTGTACAACTGCCTAAATATGTTTACTGGTCGACACATTCCACGATGTCACTCTTTACCATTAAACTAGGAGCTGTTGCAGACCAATCATGGAGCATCATCTTACATTTGGCAGGAGCAAAATGGATACAGAAAATACTTAGATTTCCGTTCATGGCGTTCGGAAGACCCTGTATTTTGTCAGCGTCTTCACCTAGGAGAATAATATCACTGGGTTACTCCAAGTCAACCTAATGTCCTCCAGTGAGTAGATCAATCACTGTAAAGTCGAAGGTGCCTATAGTTATGTTCACTGTGCATCTATGACGAAGTTAAACACCATGTTTGAAATCTGGCTTCTCACTTGGTTCCCATCTTATGATTTTATTCATTCGCGCAAAGATGGTCGTGCCTTATATTTCTAAGTATTTGCTTGGGTGATAAATTTTTTGTAAATGTGAAAGAAAATCTCTACATCACTAGTTAGTCATTACCATAAGGGATTTACATAGAGTTTTTAATTAAAAGTCAGCTCTACAGTTAAAAAGCTCAATAAACTTGAGTAATTCATAGTTACACATTGCTAATTGGATGAAATGAGATTTTAACGGTGTTTAGTACTCCCAACGTTTACTACGGTTAGTCACTATGGTAGTAGTAACTGATATATACAACGAGATATTAAATTTGATGACCAAGGGTGCCCATTAGTTCGTGAGAAAATAAGAGATAATTCAGCGAAGGAAATATTGTTTTTCGACGATGTGATTTTCTCAAGCTGCACAGTTGTGTTTATATATATCTGAAATGCATAGCAACTTATTAAATAATGGGGCATAGTTGCATCATTAGAGTGGTGTTCAAGACTGGAAAAGAATTGCATGATAATTTGTCCGACAGTGCAAATAATGAGAATGGCAAGGAGTTTGAGAAGGTGAAAATCGTTGTTTATATCTACTTAATAGATATTGAGAGGGAAAATGAAATCAGGGTCGTAAAGAAGGTGATAATTCCAAAATAACTGATCTTAACAAAATTGAGGAAAGGGAGGTAAAATGTATGAGATAGTTAAGATCATGGCAAGATATGAGATTGAACTTACCTCTTCTGCAAGCAGAAATCAGACTTGAATTGCTGAATTATCAATGCTTCTGCCGTGCTCAAGATTTGAAAGTGCAATGCTTTTGAGCTATTCCCTTCGACTGTGTTGATGACATTAAAGGGCGATCCTATCGGAGCTATATGTTTACAGTTGACCAGTTCAAGAGTTCAGCTGTTAACTGATCTGCATCCTCCCATA